AGTTGGAGTCTCACTCTGTCGCCCAGACTGAAGTGCAGTGGCTGCTCCCGACCACCGCAGCCTCGACCTGCTGGGCTCCGGAGATCCTCCCGCCTCAGCCTTCCAAGTAGCTGGAACTACAGGTGTGTGCTACCACGCCCGGCTCATTTTGATTTATTGTAGAGATGAGGTCTCGCTGCCCAGATGGGTCTCGAACCCGCGGGCTCAGGCAATCCACTCACCTCAGCCTCCCAAAGGCACGGGATTACAGGCTGAGCCACTGAGCCCGGCAGGAATGTTTTTCCACTTGTGTCATCATTGATTTCTTTAAGCACTGTTTTGTAGTTCTCATTGTAAAGGTCTTTCACCTCTCTGGTTAGGGGGATGCTAAGGTATTTCACGCGTGTGCGTGTGTGTGTGTGCGTGTGTGTGTGTGTCTACTGTAAATGGGATTGTGCTTTTTATTTGGTTTTCTAGATTTATAGTAGTTTCTATATATTGTATACATGAGCCCTCTGTCAGTTATATGCATTATAAATATATTCTTTCACTCATGTCTAACTTTTTACTCTTCATGGTACCTTTTGAAAATGGAAGTTTTTACTTTTAAAGTAACCAAACATATCCATCTTTTTACTTATGAATAGAGATTTTTGAAACTTAAGAAAACTTTCTGTACTCCAAGGCCATGATGATACTCTTCTATCTTAGATATCAAGACATTTACTGTTCAAAAAGAAATTTTGGTTTAATTTCTCACAATGATTTCCTGTAGTTTCCTTCCAGAGGTCTTACACATCTTTTATTAATTCATTCTTAGGTACTGCATTTATTTTAATACTATGGTAAACTGTGTGTGCATTTATTTTAATACTATGGTAAACTCTGTGTGTGTGTGTGTGTGTGTGTGTCTGTGTGTGTTTACAGTCTGGAGATTGTTTTGTTTTGAAATACCTATTATTTCATAAATTCATAGGGAACAGTTTCCAGCATTCCAGCAAATGGCTCCATCATTCCAGCAAATGGCTCCTTTCCATTATTTCTCACAAGGTGTGCTTCTCTGGGTGGAGCAGGCTGAACTCGGGTACCTTTCTTCTTGGCTTCCTTGTTTTCCTGATCATTTTCCTTCACACTATACAGGGAGTTATCTCAGATCTCAAAGGGCCTAATATGCTCAATACAAACATTAATTCTCTTGGCAAGAATCCTGCCCTTAACAAGGCCAACAGCATGCTGGCCTTCTGGTTTTCTTTCCTACGATAACATTTGTGGGGATTCTTTTTTGAACAGTGCACATTCCCTAATGTTTACATCACCCTTCCTGTATATTTGCCCATTATGCCGCCAAAGGAACAACTCCATGTCCCCTAAAAGGCCTAGAGAGCATATATCAGCTGTCTTTCCTCTTTTTCTTTGTGTTTGTCATTTTGGCGAACTACTAGAAGATGGCAGTACTGGCCAAAAGGACTAAAAAGTTTATTTTTAATATTTTATTTTGTTGTTTTTTTTAGCCAGGGACTTAACTAAATTCTGATTTATAAAATTGATCTATGAGTACTGTGAATTGAGCATAATCATATTATTTGTGAATAAAATGTTTTATTGCTTTCTTTTCTGTCTTTTCCTTTCTTTCTTGTTCCAAATCTCAAAGTGAATGCTTTTTATTTCACCTCTTGGTGTGAAGTTTTCTATAAACTGGTAGATATCCTTTTTCAGACTAAAGAGCTGCTCTACTAATACTGTTTTCCTAAAAGTTTTTGAAAATCATAAAGCAGTTAATATTATCAAATGCTTTTTATGAATCTGGGAAGATCATAAAAACATCCTCCCCTTGAATGTTTTAAGGCGATAAATTATATTGATAGTGTTTCAAATATTAAACTGCTTAATGTTTTCAGAATAACTGAAATTTTGTATGATTAATATTAAGATATATTACTAGAGTATTAATAGTGTTTTTGGTCTTTATCTTCCCCTGCATTTATATGACTTTCCTTATATCTATCTGACAGTTTATAACATCTGGCTTTCATTGTTGCTGTTGAAAGTTAGCTGTCACCTAACAAAGGAACTGTTGCTCCTTTGAAAGTAATATATTTTTTTCTGGCTACTTTTAAGATTTTGTCATTGGTTTTCTACATTTCAGTAAGAAATGTAGATTTCTTTTGTTTCTCATGTTTTGGGTTCATTAGACTTCTTGAAACTTTAACATCTTTCTTAATTCCTGATAAATTATCTGCCAAAATTTCTTCAAATATTGCCTCTGCATGCCACCCCCCATCTCTCCTCTCCTTCTGAGACTACAAAAAATGTATACAAGAGCTTCTTTGTCCTCTGTATCTCTTATTCTCTTTTATGTAAATTGGCTCTTTTTTTCTTAATACTTCATTCTGGATTTCTTCCCAATCTATTTCCAGTTCACTGATTCTGTAATTCAACTATGTCTATCAAATTTGCTGTTAAACCTACCCACTGGATTCTTAAATTTGATTGTATTTTTCAATTCAGAAATTTCCATTTGTTTATTAAATCTGTTGTGTCAAATTCCCATTTGTTTCTCAAATTCACTGTTGCTAGATTCCTTCCAAAATTTTTAAGCTTTCCTTTAACTCTCTGCACAATAAGCATACTTGTTTTGAGTCCATGTCTAATAATTCCAGTATCTGGAGATTTGCTATTGTTGCCTGTTCTTTCTTGCAGTGTGGTTTGTCTCCTCATGTTTCAGTCCTCTTTGATTAAGTACTAGACATTGTATTTGAAAATTATTTATATGGGACAGTTTATTTACTCTGATTCACTGTTACTACTAGGGTGCATCCCTTAAGGTGTTTTTGCTCAAAGAAGACGGTGGTTTACCTCACTGTTGGCAGGTCTCGGGCTTCCAACTTCCATCTCCTTTTCCTCACAAGAGTACAAAAGAAGAATCCAGCCTTTCAGCTGTTTTTTCCAGAATGGCACAAGAAAGCTACAGAAGTACCTTTGTTAAGATTTTAAAATAAAATCTTGGAAAATCTTAATAAAATCTTGGAAAGTTGATTGGGCCAATGAATATATTAGTTGTAGAAAAGATAATGTAGCTGAAGTTAAAGATACCCAAGATAAAAATGATCATATCCCTAATAAAACAAAGAATGGTTTGGAGTTAAATAGCTGGCAATTAAATAATATTAGAAAAAAATTTAAAGTATACATGACTGAAAATCAAAAAGTGCATTAATTTTCTCACCATTTTCTGCCAATGGAGCAAGAACTTCAAAAATCATTTCTCTCTTATCATGTTCTATTTGTTTCTTGAAGAGTTTTACCAGTTCTTCAGCAATGCTAGTACTGGCAAACTGTTCTTTGCTTGACTCTTTTAAAAAGAAAAGGAAAAAAAAAGTAACAGTAAGCAAACAAAATTAAACCCAGAAATTATTTTTCTGTTACTTTCAATACTTGTTCACTTTATATCATTACGACAAATACAACCACTCCTAAAACACAGAAACAATCAAATCTATTTTTAATGATCCTGAAAAGAAAAAAATGTCTAAGCCTTAAGAGAAAATGTTCTCAGTCAATTGTATTTGAGGCTATTAAAAAATTTTACAAGCATAACATATAGGTAACCATAGCAACACTAAGATTACTAAGTCATAAATTCATAGTTTCCAGGCATTTAGTCAAAGAAAAAACATATTCATAACATAACGTATTTTACATGGCTGAATTAAATGTGACTTATCATCTTATCTTTAGTATAACTAAAGTAGTCCTGACATGCCTAGTACTGAAGGTCAATTCTTCTTGAGTAATTGGAATCTCATTTCCTCTTCCCTCTTCAGCATCTCCAGCTTCTCATTATTCTAGAGCCTCACCATCAATCACAGCCTTCATATATACTTTAGTGTTTCCCACATAAAAATTATTAAAAACCAACACCTTCCCTCTACTGTATTGCTTTCTTCAACTACCATTCAATCTCACTCACTTTTACAAACACATTTCTTGGTAACATTGTTTATATACACTACCTCCATTATCTCAACTCACATGCACTTCTAAGCCCACTTCAAACTAGTTTTGGTCCATCTCTACACTCTGCAATCTCCTGTGATTATTCTTCCTTTTCTGCCAGACCTTTATAAATTCCAGTTCCTTGAGACTTGCCCTTTGCTTTCTTATCTTCTCGGTCCTTATTCTCATCCTAGGCAATCTGATTCTCTTTCCTGCCATCAAACAGCATTTCTGTGTTGATATTTACACAATTACATCTGCACCCCGGGCTATTTATTTAACTGCCCATTTGACATCTCTATTTGAATATTTCTCTAGCATCCTAAACTCAATGCTTAAATAGAACTTTTTTGATATACCCTGAAATCTGTTCTTCCTCAGTTCTGTAAATAAACACTTACTCTATCTATCCACACAGTAAGAAATCTAGGAGTCACTGTTCACTTGTTTTCACTCAACTTCCATATCCAGTGAGTCACCAGGGTCCAACAATTTTTCTCCAAAATACAACCAAAACCCATTCTATTTCTCTCCTCTTAATTTCTTTGGTTGCATTAGATATTAATTTTTCTAAGTGAAGTTTCTCTCAGAGAATGCTAACCAAATCCAATCTATTCTGGTCTATGTTTAGAGGCACAGCTGGCACCCTGGACTCTCTCTGTATCATTATCTTGATGGATCATTTCTCCTCCTTCCTGCTTCCTGTACTGGATGACTCTATCTATGTCCTTTCTCCTTCACTTGTTTTGTTTTGTTGGAGGCATCGTCCAGCAGCTACCTGAGAAAGCAACTTGTATACTGCGTATATAAGGTAGATATTTTGAAATAATGACTGAAAATGCTCTTACCTAGAGTCAAACCTCTAATTTAAATTAGTCCTTTGCCTTACTCCATTATTTTCTCATGCTAGCAATTATAATAACTTGTAATTATATACTAATTTATTTGTAAATTATTTTTAAAATAAATGTTCACCTTACTCACGAAACTATAAGCTCTTTGAGGGCAGAGACAATGTATACTGTTACAGTCACCACAAACACTATGCACAGGATAGTTCTTCATCCAAAACAAGTATTTGAAATAAATTTATAACTGAATGAGTAAATAAATGCATAAGTAACTGAATATGAGAATTAGATTCTGCTCTCTAGTCTCTGGTAAATATCTTGTGTTAATATAAGATATATAGCAAATTCAATTTTAAAAAAGGAGAAACACACAAGTTGATATAGTTTAATAAAATTTTGATTTGCTTTCTATTACACTGTGTTGCTGCATACACCAATAGATGTATACCAAAATGATGAAAATCTACTCCAAGACTTTAAGTATAATTCTTCAGTGTCATTAAAAAGTAGAGGTTTAGCTCTTACTTCATATGTCAAGAAGGGAAAAAAGTAAAAGTAGGGTATCTTTTCCAGCAAGCTATCTAAGCCCTCAGAGATTATATTGGGCAACTGTCAGCACACCTCACCCTAGAAGGGGGTTAGTTTGATTGAAATAGAGATGACTTATCTCCTGAACATGTCTGGTTGTTGTTCCTCAGCTTCAGAGAATTTTTCAAATGAAATGAATTTCAGAAACATAAAATCACAGATGAAGTATAAAGACATCATCACTCATTTAGTTATATGTTCTTACTCTTCTCTTTTTAAAAATAATAGTGTTAGCATTCTTTTCCTTCCAATCCATATTCTATTCCTCTAAACATTTATTAAGCTGAAATAAAATCATTGCCACTATATAATTCAGATCCTATTTGCCAATACAAGGAAACAAAGCACCATTATTAACACAGGAATTTAAAAACAAAATCTATACTTAATCCTGCAGGTGAATAGAGTGAGAAGACAGCATGAAGTATGATTTGGACATTATTCTAAATTAAATGGCATGAATCCTCAACAGACCTTTAGCAAGAAGCCTCACTTTCTAAGGTTTTATTTTTATCAAAATCATACATGGGTTTAAAGAGTTTGCCTAAAGATAGTATTACCAGCACACTACAGTTCCCTCTCCTATATTTCTTCTTCCTCAGAAGCAAGTACATAAAGCTTTTTTAGCTAATTCATTAAATTTTTTTTCTTGTTTTTATAAATTATCTATTTCATCTTTAAACTATAATATTTCATCACTAGTCATTAAAATCACACAAATTTATATTATTAAAAAAAACTTTTTTTTTTTTTGAGTTGGAGTCTCACTCTGTCACCCAGACTGGAGTGTAGTGACCGCTCCCGGCCACCACAGCCTCGACCCGCTGGGCTCTGGCCATCCTTCTGCCTCAGCCTTGGAGTAGCTGGAACTACAGGCGCGCGCTACCATATCCGGCTGATTTTTAATTTATTGTAGAGATGACGTCTCACCAAGTTGCCCAGGCGGGTCTTGAACCCGCGGGCTCAGGCAATCCACTCACCTCCACCTCCCAAGGTGTGGTATTACAGGCTGAGCCACCGAGCCCAGCTATTTAACATTTTTATTAAAAACATTTTTGACAAAAAGTAACTCTAGTATTTAGTAATGTCATATTTAGAAATGCACGACATGAATTTCAAACACTTGATAGTTACTGAGTCAATAAAAATACTTGTTAACTCCTGGCCAAGAAAGCTCACAGAGAAAGGAGAAAAATTATTCTGGGGTGTACATGTTCCAATTTCTGTTGATGTATAACCTATTACATGGGTATAACTGACTCGTGAATATTAACTCTAGAAGTCTTAGTAAATAAAGAAATATGTCTGCCTTATCCTTTCTTTCTCAAAATGGGGTAGGGCAGTTAATAGCTGAAATTAGAGTATGAACCCTGTACTGAAAAAAACTGGATGCACATCCATCTTTTAATTATTGGTTGATGGAGACTAGGCTGACCAGAGGTCTATGCAATCTCCCAGATAAAGCTGATATCTTAACACAGGCAACTCATATCAAAGTGTTTGGAAGCAGTTTTTCAGTGGCATATTTTCCCCGCATGCCACGAAAAACAGCAAGGTGGGCAAAGTTGCCTTTGCAACTCTCTACTCACCTTATATCTCTCCTGGCAGGCCAGGATTCCCTTCAATACACTATACTCTGTTTTTGTCCCCATATTATTCTTGCTTTTTCATTTGTCTAATCAAAAGTTCCATTTCCCAAGTGCTACTGATATTATTGTATTGTACTGATCTGGTCACTCACTTAATAAATGTGCCAAGCACTATCCACTGACATCGCCAAAAGATGTATAAGACTAGAAAGTAATTTATAAGAGGGAGATGGTTGATAACTTTGGCTATCTAAAAGGTTATGTTTAAAAAGGGGTGGTTAACAGAGATGAACATTTGACGGAGAGAGCTGTAGGGCAAATGTTTCTGGGTTTTTAGCTGTTGGCAACTTTTAACTTTTTCTCCCAAAGAATAAAATGATTGAATTAAATATTAGAGGATTCTTTTTTTTTTTTTGACTCTGCCAGTACCACTTTTGCAGGCATCTTTGGAATCCACAGGGTTCTGTAAATCTCACTACTAGTAAGAAAATACAGGCTGCCATGGTGCACATTATGGGAACTTTAAAACCTCAGCTTGTAAGTATATATTTATTCTCTAGGAAAAAATCTTATGAAAACTCAGCAAGGCAAACATAATCATTAAGAATTTTTGTCACAGCCATTAAAATTTTAAGAGCCTAATTAAAATCTGAATAAACCAAATGTTTTAATAAAACTCATAACAAGCTATACATATTATATACACTATAAGACTAACTATAGATAATAAAATCAGAAATAATAGTATTTGAATTATCACTTAAAGATGCTGTGTGAGAATTCAAGTTCTCTTTTAAACAGACCACACATCAAAAAAATTTTTTTCTCTAGTACAAAAAACTGTTTTTCAAGTGATTCACAAATAATAGAAATCCTACAAGGCTATATTTTTCAAATGCCAAGAGATACACTAATAAGTCATGTAATCAATTTAGGATTATGACCAGATTAAAAAAAAAGAATACAAACTATCTCAGAGTGCACTGAATATGTAAGGATAATAAGTATTGTTTAGTGTCAGGTATGTTATATAATAAGTGGTAATATAAGATACATTGCTTAGGATGGGCCACAGTCCAAACAGTTTGAAAACTATAGCCTTAAAATAAGCAATTTACAATCTGCATTTCTGTGAGCTACTTTTGGAGAAATGTTAATATCTTATTTTTATATTACAATGTCTTAAGCACAGCAAGATATATGCCACTATTCACATACTGAATAACTTAAGGGTCCAAATATATAAGTTATTTGCCTATGTAATTTAGATAAATACATGAATTGCCTTTCACCAATTTCCCTCTCAGAATATTAGTATATAAGCATGATCCTAAATTTATTTACTACTAAATAAATCACAGGGTTGGATTAACTGTAAGGATTAGGCCCAATTTACTTCTTAGGGCTGCTGTAAAGGTGAGTAAAGTTTATTACAGACCCAGGATCTTCTTTTATTGTAAAATATGACTCCCGTGATTGACCTTTCTCAAGGCCCACCCTCTTCTATTACCAGAGTTCTTGTTATACTCATTCACCAGAAGCGGTAATAACGACCAATACTTTATCCTTGACTCTCATTTTAAGAAATGGATGATGATAGTTTATTGAAGTATTCCAAACGAAAACCTTAACTCCTTTTCTATGAGGTTAAGCAGGAGTTCTGCACAGCTCTTGAAGCTGGAGTATTTACAAGATTTAGACACACAACCATAAAAGGAATGAAATGGTCCTTGGCAAGTAACTGCAGTTATATAAACTCTTCTACAGCACAGCCTATCCAAGGATGACTAAAATTTCTTTGCTTGGTACAGGATTTTTCTTAAGGTTAGGTGAGATAAACTTCGTTAGCTTTTGCTTTCTTCTGTGCCCTCTCCGAAAACTTCAAGAGGGGAGAAGCCTTCATGAAGTGAAGGATGACTTTGTTGTACAGTGTATTTCCTACAGCACCACTGTCCAACAGAAATGTAATGAAAGTCAAAAATGAAACCATATATATAACTTAAAAATTTTCTAGCAGATACAGCAGAAACAAGTGAAATTAAATTAATATTTTATGCCACCCAATATATTTAAATTATTTCAACATATAATCAATATAAAAATACTGGTGAGATATTTTAAATATTTTTCATACTAAGTCTTCGAAATCCATTGTGTATTTTATATTGAACATATCTCAATTCAGACTACTTACGTTTCAATGCTCATTAGCCACAAGGCTGATAACTATTGCACTGAACAGTGCTGTTCTAGAAACTACATTACGTTATAGAACTGTATTAAAATGTAAAAGTAAAGAAAATGTACTTTTTAAGTTTGACAAAACTAGAGTCAGGAGAGATATGAACCAATCATGTTTCTGTTATATAGATGACACTATCAGTATGGGATTATAACATGATTTATTTCTACCAACTGTACTTAATAGAAACTCCTACATTCCATTTTAATAAAGGAAAAGAATACTTTTATGAGATACCAAATTAATGTTTTTCATTCTTGGTCTCACTTGAATGACAGAAAAAAATGTTAATCAGACTAGAAAGAAAAAGAAGAAAAGCAGAAGATGAGAAACATTCATGAGAATACAACCCACTGAATGTCTTTTAGTAAATATCTTTGATAAAACAGTTCCTATTCCCTTAGCTCAAAAAAGATAAAACAAAAATATTAAAACCAAGGCTTTAATGTGCAGTGCAGTGGGTAGAAACATGAGCTTTAAGTTAGAAGAACGAAGATTAGAGTCTTGGTGTTTTGTTTATTTATAAAATGGGGATAATAGGCTGAGTATGGAGGTTTACACCTATAATCCCAGCATTTTGAGAGCCTGAGGTGAGAAGACTGCTTGAGCACAGGAGTTTGAGACCAGCCTAAGCAACATAGTGAGGAACTCATCGCTACACAAAATTAAAAAATTAGCAAGGCACAGTGGCACATGCCTGGAGTCCCAACTACTTGGGAGGCTGAGGTGGAAGGATCACTTTGGCCCAGGATGTTGAAGCTGCGGTAAGCCATGATTGTGCCACTGCACTCCAGTCTTAGTGACAGTGAGACACCAACTCAAAAAAAGGGCACCAACTCAAAAAAAGGGTAATACATAACATAGGTCCTCAGTCCTCTTTTTCATCATGACTAGGATGTTTCCAACCTTGGTCTGGTTCTGCCTGCCTTCTGATTTTCACAGATGTCACACATTGTTTTCTAATGCTGTTACAAATACATTCATATCTATATATAAATTTTTTTTAAAAGTGTCCCTTGTCATTTTTCTAGATTTTGTGAAGAAGGTGAAGAACTTTCGTTTGCTAGATTTTTCTTTACTTGATAAGTAAACAATTTATATAGTATGTAGTAAATTACAGTGTCTTCTTTTTGCTCTGGACATACAATTGTTGATTTAAGACCATCCCTCATATAAAAATACCTAAGTGGAAATACATTTAAATATTCAACTCTATTAAATGATGTACAATGTAAACTTTAAACCTTTTTTTTTTTTTTTTTGAGTTGGAGTCTCACTCTGTCGCCCAGGCTGGAGGGCAATGGCATGCTCATGGCCACCACTGCCTCGACCCGCTGGGCTCAGGCAATCCTTCCACATCAGTCTTCCAAGTAGCCGGAACTACAGGTGCGTACTACCATGCCTGGCTAATTTTTAAAAATTTATTGTAGAGAAGAGGTCTCACCAAGTTGCCAGGGTGGGTCTTGAACCCGCGGGCTCAGGCAATCCACTTGCCTCAGCCTCCCAAATTGCTGGGATTACGGGCTGAGTCACCGAGCTCAGTCAACTTTAAACCTTAATACATAAAATAATCAGGGAAGCAAAGTAGCTCCAATTATGAACAATACAATCCTAAGATCTAATTGAATTTTCTTTTTTAAATATTGAAGCAAATATCTCAAACGCTTTAAAAAAAAACCCTCAATTTAAATGAATGTCCAGGTTCTTCACATCTAAAGGAAGAGTTACTACAAGAGCGTGAATAAGTTAATTATGCTTGTGGTTCATGACTAAGACTTACCAAGTTCTGCTAAATTTCCAAATGCAACAAGACACATTTCTGTAAGAGCTCCATTTTGGCAGTGGATGCCCAATAATTTCACTAAGGTAGGAATAACACCCATATTGATAAGCTGAGCTTGAAGAGAATCTGTAAAAAAACAACAACAACAAAAAAAAGGGAAGTATTCATATGTCAAATGAACATTGGTAAGAAAACACCTCTTATTATCTCTGCTGTAAACGCAATGCTATGTGACTTATGGTAGAAGAAAATGAAGTATATTCATATCTTAAACATTTAAAACACATTAGTTCAGAAGAGTTGAGTTTTGAATCTTTCCAATGACCAAAAGAAATTTAGAAATGAAATAATTTGAAGAGTATATCACATCATTAGTTTTTAAAAATGGGCTCTTAAGAAATATAAATAATTAAAGGTTACCATTGGTTTTTGAGTGAGAAAGTTAGACGGTAACATTTGCATTACAGGAAATCAAAGAATAGGAAGAATGCCAAATTTAATAAAGACCAAGAAAGACAAAAATCTTAGAATCCTTTAGAAGCAATTTTGATAAAAAAAATTAAGAGTATATCATAAATACACAAAAATTACTGGTTATAAGTATTTGCAAGCAGAGTGTTCTTTGATGACTGCTAGGAAGGAATGCAGTTTAACAAGGAAAAATTAATTTTATTTTTAAAGTATTATTTAATTATGGTGACAGATCATCTCAGTAAAAGAGAGGAAAATTTGGCTTGAGAGGTGAAGAGAATGAGGGTAACGTGGCTTTGTCATCATTGTTTGCTTTCTTTTTCTAAGCAGCTAATTGATTTTAAGTATTAAACATGTCTTGGATTTCCACAAGGGTCCTTCATGGACAATGATAATATAATACCTGTAGGAGAGTTGAAGGTAAATGAATCAAAATGAAAACCTAAAGTACTGCCTTTCAGAATAAACTAACACACACACATATTCATGTTTATATAAAACACTATGACCTGTAAATAACTAGTTATCTAAATATATAGGAACGCTTGTTCAAAAATTTTTCTTCTCTTTAAGATTGTATGCCATTTTCAAGTTAATAATTTTCCCCATATTCTTTTCAGTTACCTATTTGTGATCTAAAGATAAAACTCAGTTCCTTATAAAACACACGTCCTCATAGCTCCAATTCCACCTTGGGGTTGGTTGGCTAATCTCCTTATTACTCTTTATAGTTCTTAACATGTAGATAAGGAGGTGGGTGGGTGATTACCAGTAAAGAAGGAAAAGGCAGGGTTGAGTTATCTTACATGCCAGTTGATTATCTGCCTGATGGTCTTTGTTGTTAATTCTTCCTGCTTTTAGAGTGAGACAGCCAATAGTGGCTTATTGTCCCTGGGAACTGATGACTGGGTAATTACAGATAATTACCTGGTTTGGTTATGGAGCTCCATCTATACTATAAAGGGGCCTATTACCAAAACAAGAATAGAAAATAAACATAAAAAAAGGGAAGGCTACATCTAGACTTCAAATTGTTTAAACAATTGCAAATTTTGCATTGGAATTATGAAGTCTATTCTAAAAGTAGATAAAAATTAAAGAACACAATGCATTCGATTAAATGATTTGTATTTATACTTTTGATATTCAATACTTTTTCTGAATATACAATTCAGCAATTAATTAGTGATTCACAACACTTACAGACAAAATACTTATAGGGCAGAGTCTTTTATCTGTATAATATATTGGCAGAATACTTGCATTATGGTTATGGCACTTATAATGACCACGCACCAAGGGACTTTTCAAGTTAGAAATTATTTTGATTACTTACCATTAGAGTTCTTTATTAGTGGATCACCTCTGCAGATCCTTGTTCTTTAGAAGCATTTCATTTATTTATTTATTTTGACTACCTTGTCAAATATTGCAGAGTTGTTGAATCATTAAATTTCAGGTACGTAAGCGTGAGCACTAGCGCATGCATTGAATGTGAATCAAACTCCACTATATGCCTGCCTATATGTAAGCATCACACACCCCCTCAGTTCTGTTGGTACAAACTATAAAAGTCCATCAGTCCAGGGACCTCAGAGGATAACACATTTTGTGAAGGAGGTAACAGAATACACTTAGAAGACAATGCTCTTCATGTTCTACTAACCTGGCATCTCTACTTTTTTGGACTGCTTTTACATATATTTTGGTTCCAGGGGAAAGAAGGGCAAAAAGACAAATGCAAACCTTAATACAGTCTTTCACATACAAACTGAAGTAGTAATATTTGAAATTGTGGCAAGAGAAAAAGTAGCACAGCCAAATGGCATACGGTGTGTATCACCATAATTTCTGAAAATCATGTTGCTTCATGAAAATGTGCTTTATAACTACCAAGGAGCTGAAGTCATTATATGCTCACATACAATACACATACCAGACACAAGAGAAAAATACATTGTTATCCAATTGGATGTTTCATTTTGGACCAATTGGATGCTTTCTTTTACATCCACTTCTATAATGCTAACTAAAACAGTAATCAAACTCAAATAATTCTAAAATTTGTTCATACTGACCGCAGGTAAGTCATTCTTTTATAATGAAGGAACAGAGGAGGGAAAAAAACAAAACAAAAAAACTTTACTCAAAGTTGATACAAATTTTCATGTTATGGACAGAGGCATCCTAGAATATGGTTCTCAAAGTGTCCCTGAAACCCTTTCAGAGCATCACAAAATCAAAACTATTTTCATAAACATGCCAAGATTTCACATTTGCACTGATGGTGTAAAAACAGTCATGAGTCAAACTGTTGTCACTTGAGCTTGAACCCAGGCAACGGCACCAAATTGTACTAGTAGCCACCATACTCTTTCACTATCACATACAGTAAATAAAAGGCTAATCTCTGCAGCAACTGTTTTTGAAAATATTTTTCATAAAAATGTTTTATGTTAACATACAATGGGATTGTTTTAAAACATACCGCTAAATCATTTTTTAAACTTTCTTCATTTTGATTTCTAATTCAGAAAATATTGAAAGATATAACCCATATACATAAACAAAAGTCATTTGAGGCCTTCAATAATTTATAGGCATCTAAAAGGATCCTGGGACCAAAAGTTTAAGAACTACTGTCAAAGGATTACCTATTGTTTAGAAAAGACCAGTTTGGAGGTGGGAGTATGTACAACATTCTGAAGTTTAATGATGTGCTTTAGCAGAAGTGATCAGAAAAAAAAATTAAAATTAAAATTAAATGCATAGTAGTAATCCTAAGCTTTGGTGCTCAGATATTTTGAGAGAAATTACACTAATAACGCCTGAACATCTCATCTTGCTTATCTGAGTAGGAAAGACTACTTCAGCCTAAAAGAATATTCCAGATTTAGTTTGTTTACTTACTTCAGTTACAATGTATTATATCACTATTCAGTAGGTGGTGAGGTTTTTTTTTTGGACTAAGTAGGGGTCTTATTTGTGTGGGATAAATTGGTACTAATTCTTAATAAAAACACATAATTCGCTTGATTGTCTATTTTTTTTTATTGCCAAAAGCAAGCTTATGAATGTTCTTTAAAGGTTAATAGCTGACACTCATGCTATCTTGAATGTTATCAGCAGTATGACTTTTATATGAAAGACTAACAGGAAGAAATTCTTAGAACCATAACTAGTTCTTGTTCTCTAGACTCATTTGAGAGTAAGTGAAACAACTGCAAGACTAAGACTTTTGCATCCCTCAGTGAATACCAGCAACTCCAAGGGAATGTTATCAGAGCTCAAGAAACACAGCAATTCAAGAAAATGCAACCCAGGCCCAAACATAACAAACACTTAGATGTGAAGGACAGTCTTTAGACAGAACAATGTCATAAACGTCTTAAGACTTAGTTCAACTGTTCCTGACACACATCACAAACAAATACTGACCAAGATACAGATTTACAAAATTACATAATATCAAGATGATACAGGCCCTACATGATCTATGGGGAGGAAGAAGAAGAAAGGCACTGAGGGGGTGCAATACAGATGCATATACAAAGATATAAGGCAATCAACGCATGCGCTGGTGTGAACACTTACCTACCTACATTTGAATTTCAATGGTTCCATGTTCTTCAGGTCACACTCATGGAAACTCCAAAGAATGGAGATCTGGAGAGAAGATCTCAAGTTGAGGAAACTTTTTCCCCTGAGTTTTAAGTTTAATGTTTAAAACACTGGTATAGACTAGATTATAGGTCCAGAAATGTATGCTGAGAATTCCAGTAATTCAATTGAAGTTATGTTGATCAATTACTAAAGAAGATTATAACAGGCTTATCTTATTCCTAAGGTCCTTACAGACAATGTTATCAGATTATTAAGCTGTTTGGTAAACAGAACTTAAGGATGAAACTGTCAAAACAAGACCCACACAATTCAAAATAGTCTCTACATTAGAATGTATATACGCTAAGTGTATTATTCATACTACAATGATACAATATAGCTATTTATATGCTTGCATTAAAAATTCCATCTACAGTCAAATTAGTTGCACATAGCTAAAATGATAAAAACAAGCAAATAAAAGTTTTGATGAAAAATTCTAATACAAATTGGCTAAAAACCACTTGGGTATATCAAGACAGACAAAAACTGTCTTTGACTTACTAATGTATCTGTACTTCCAAAAAAGACTATGAGAACTAAAAACCAGAAATGATTGAACAGTGAAGTAGAGCTTCGAATTTAAGCAACTTTTTAGCTCTGTAAAGGAATTTGACTTAAAAGTAGCTACCAAGATGATGATTAGTAGTTAAAAACTTGATATATTTAAAAGTGCAGGTGTAAAGACAGACTTCCTTTTCAGTTCCTTATTACTTAGTATCTTTTGTTAATTGATCAAGAAAGCGGAGAACTTTTAATTTAAATCTAGAGTTGAAGATTTTAAACTAGATTATATCTATGTTTAAAATTCATTGCAATTATTGTAAAAGTCTCCTTTACACAAAACATGCGATGTGTTTTGCTTTAGTTTCAAAGATACACAGAAATTTCAAAAAGAAAAAAGAGCAAATCAAGATTCATTAATATTGGGAATATTGGAGGTTTAAAACTATATTTATACATTTCTTGTTTTCTAGAAGTTAACAATAAAA